TTGATACTCGTGCCAAGAAATGTCATGTTTTAGGCACAAAAATACTAATTTTCCTTCCCAAAATCCCTATTGAGGTCCGTAATTATTATTGAAGTGATATGTTTGAACATATTGGTCATAATAAGGTTGTAAACATGTTGAAAAACACCCAAATGTTGAATCTTCCATGAACATGCTTCATAACTCATGCAATTTAACAAAAGACACTTAATGAAGTACATGTGGTAGAGATGAGTTAGAGGTATCCTAAGCTGTTGGATACACCCAAGGTTCAATCAAGTTCTCTAACTTCTCTCACTAACAAAAAATCAATAAAAAAGTTACTAACATTTTTGGGAAGCTTAGGAAAGAATTTAATACGTTTATTGAGGCTTGAATCTCCCCAAAAATAGTTGGTTCTTCATAAGTTTCTAAAACCCCCACTAAACCTACATTTTGGAACTATGACCAAAACTTGCAAATAAGAGCCTGAATTAAAGCTTGGGTGATAAAGGTGTTAATTCTTAAGTTGAAATCTTGAAACTGGGAGGATTTCCTAGAAACGTTGGAACCTTGTTTCAAGAAAGAATATGAGAAGGAAGGATGAAAGAAGAAGAATAATAAATAAAGGAGAGTTGAGAAAAAAGGAGAGAGCCAGACATGATATCATCCCTCATTAAGGGATTTCAACATTTAAAAATATTTTTGGTATAATTACTCCCTTTGTCACTCTAGCTTTGGTTGAATTTCAAAATAACTCCATTTTCTTAACTATAGGGCCCAAACAAGCCCAAACCAACATCCACTTGATCCAATAATTCCTAGATTGTTTATGGATTTATTTTAAGGCTCACCCAGGTCAACTCTAAACTCCTAACCTGGGATTTAGGGTGTTACAACTCTCTCATTATAATTAGAAATTTCATAATCAAAATTTACCTAGATGGAAGATGTTACGATACTAAAGCTGCATGTCCTTCTCAATTTCCCAAGTTGTTTCCTCAACGCCATGGTTCCTCCACAACACATTCACTGAAGTAATCCTCTTGTTCCTTAGTTCTTTTACACATCTAGCTAAGATTCTGATTGGTTTTTCTTCATAGGTCATGTCTGGGCTCAACTCGATCTGCTCTAAGGTTATGACATGAGTAGGATCATAACGATATCTTTTGAGCAAGAATACAAGGAACACATTATGGATGTGCTTTAAATCTGGTGGTAAGGACAATCGATAAGCCATTGGTCCAACTCTATCTAGTACCTCATAAGTAGGGATGGCAAATGGGTACAGTTTCGTGGATTCCGCACCGCATCTGCTCCAATTGGAGCGGGGATGGGTATAATTTTAGCGGGTAGTGGGCGGGTGTGGATTTTTAAAGTGGTACCCGTCGTGGGTGGTGGGCGGGTAATGGGTTTGAGACATTACCCGCCCCGCATCCGCCACACATCCGCCCGCCCAGCTAAATATCAATTAAATTTTGGACCATTATGAATTTAGGTGTAATTTTGGAGACTAATTTATAAATTTTAATATTGTATAATATATAACATATAATTTAACCAAATATTAAAGATATATGGTCTTTAATTAGGGAAATATTCGGCTCTTTGATTAAACCCATAATCCCACTAACCACGTCACTTTCCATGTTCTTTAGCCCATACTGCCCATCCAAACACAAATTAACCGTATTATAAGCATTAACATCAAAAGCAGTAGTTTCCATGTTCTTTAGCCCCTCAAAACCCATACTAGATGCACTATGAGCATTAACATTGAAAGCAACACAACAATCCAGCTCTGTGACTACATGCTCCCTACAATATGTCTCCATAACATTTGTAGAGCCACTCCTCTGACATATTGAAGCATGCGCTGCTACCCCATCACGAACTGTCTGGGAAACAACTCTAACATCCCATTAGTTTGCTGTCAGGCGGGTCTAGCTGGGTATGTCGCTAGTGGGTAGTGGGTGTGGGAATGGATTTGAAAATGTACCCGCGTGGGCGGGTGTGGATTTAAAAATTTGTACCCATCATGGGTGGTGGGCGGGTGGTGGATTGAAAAATATTAGGTGGGTATGGAGATGGGGGAGGGGGTATTCGCATCCGACCCGGCCGTTTGCCATCCCTACTCATAAGGTCCTATAAAGCACGAGTTCAACTTTCCCTTACGCCCAAAGTGAAGTACTTTCTTCCATGGGGAAACCTTGAGGAACACCTTGTCTCCTAATAAGAACTATACATCCTTATGCTTCTGATCTGCGTAGGTTCTCTACCTATATGAGGCTTCTCTCAATCAACTCTAGATTAATCAAACTTTCTATTTGGTTTCTCTGATTAAGTTAGGACCCACTATTTTACCCTCATTAAGCTCGGTCCAACTTAACAGAGTTCTACACTTATGCCCATACAAGGCTTCATGCAGAGCCATCTAAATGCTTGACTGAAAACTATTATTGTACGTGAACTCCACTAGTGGTAGGTGGTCCTCCCAACTACCCTCGAAATCTATGATGGTGAACTAACATATCCTACAAGATCTGAATGAAGTGCTCTGACTGGTCGTCTGTCTGAGGATGGAAAACTGCATTGAAGTTTATTTTGGTGCATAAGAACTCATGAAGGGCCTTCCAAAAACAGGAAGTGAATCGAGGATCTTTGTCGGATATGATGGAAATCAGTACATCATACAACCTCACTATCTCACGGATGTATAACTGAGCTAACCTCTCTAAGTTATAGTCCATCCTTTTCTTGACGAGATATCAAAATATTTTACTAAAAATGATAAGATTGAGATGACATTACTTTAACTTCTTTAATGTCTATGAAGTACAAAGGTCAAGAAAATGTGAGAGATTACATTATGAGAATAATTCATATTACTTCAAAACTTAATGCACTTAAGATTGAGCTTTTTAATAATTTATATGTTCTCATGGTTTTGGTATTGCTTCCTGCGTAGTTTAACCAATTTAAAATTAATTATAATTATCAAAAGTAGAGATGAACTTTGAATGAGCTCATTTCACATTGTATACGAGAGGAAGAAAGATTGAAGCAAAATAAATCTGAAAATGCACACTTGGTCAATGCTTCTAAAAATAAGAATAGGAAAAAGAAAACAATTAGAATAAAACTATTAAAAGTCCATATAACAATAAGATAAGAAAGTTGTTTCTTCTGTAATAAGTTTGGACATGTGAAAAAGGATTGTATCAAATATCAAATTTAGTGTGTAAAGAAACATATGATTCTTACTTTTGTTTATTCTGTGATTAATTTAGCTTTAGTACCCCAAAAATAATTGGTAAATAGAATCTTGTGCTACTACTCATATAAGTATTTCTAAGAAGGGATGTATGAATTACCAAAAGTCAAGTGATGATGAAAGACATATGTTTATGGGCGGAAAATAGGTAGATGTTGAAACAATTGAAATTTTAGGTTTTTGTTAGAAATTAATTTTTATTTGGATTTAAAAGACACTTTCGTTGTACGATCTTTTAGTTGGAATTTAAATATTAATTCTTTATTAAAAAAAATTCAATTCATTTAGAAGCAGTCAATTTAATTTGTTTTTAAATTCAAATATTATTGAAACTGATTAATTCATTAGACAACATGTACTTACGAGATACAATTCCATCCTATAATGAAACATTATACGCGGAATCACGTTATACTAAATGCAAATTAACTAAGAAATATTTGATATCATTATGATATAGAGCTTAAGTCATATCTGAAAAGGTAGAGTTGAATGTTTAGTGTCTAATGGTATTTAAAATCTTGACTTTACATACTTTGATGTTTGTGTAACTTCATCGAGGAAAATCATACAGAGACTTAGAGATTAGGTATCAACAGATCTACAAACGTCTTAAAATTAATTTAAACCGATATTTGTAGGCCATTCCTTAAAAAATCTTAGAATGTTCAATAATATTTTATAAAATTCATAGAAGACTACTCACGTTATGAGTACATATATCTCATTCAGAAAAAATCTCAGTCTCTGTACGTGTTTAAAACTTATACAGTTAAAGTTGAGAATCAACTCAAAAAAAAAAAAAAATTAAGAAAGTCATATTAGATCAATATCCAAAATCATTTGTTAAATTTTTAGAGGAATGTGGTATTGTCTCACGGTATACCATGTCAATATCATCTAATATGAATGGTATAGCTTAGAGGCACAATAAAACTCTTAAGAATTTAATAAAGATTATAAATTTCTCATTATACCTTGAGTTTCACAAAAAAAAAAAAAATTAAAAACAGCAATTTATATTTTGAATAGAGTACTCACTAAATTAACTGTAAAAATACCTTATGAGTTTTGGACACGTCAAAAGTTAAATTTAAAGTACTTTTACATTTAGGATATCCACTTGAAGCCTGGTCTTATTTATCATATAAAAATAGATTACACTAAAAAATAGTTAGTAACCACTTTAATAAGTACTCTGAGTAATTTAGGGTTTATAAATTTTATGATTTTAAAATTAATTTTTTTAAAAGGAGAAATATAATATTGGATTTAACCATTCAATCAAAACCTTAAAACATTCAATTAAAACTCTAAAACACAATTTTTTAGGAAATAATCAAATTTCTCAAAAGATATTTCTTTAAATGGAAAACCCTAAAGTTAAAATTGTCTGGATTTACTTTCTTAATGTAAATCAGCTTCTCATCAGGAGTATTATGAATTAGTGTTGAGTGCACCTTATATTTTCAAGGTCATTACTTTTTTAAAACATGTTTTAATTTTGCTTTAACAAAATTAATTTGGTCTTTACCCTTCCTAAATCTGCATGTGAATGTTGATGGTAGAGGAAATAGAATAAAATTTGAGAACTAAACAAAATCTTCATCAGTGTCTCTGTTTAGTATTTAACTGAGAGTTATCAAAATAAAATAATGGCGTAAATATTAATGATTAAAATGTAAAATTTAAAAGTTAGATGGTCGAGTGACTAAACAAGTTTACCTCCTTCTTTAACTGTCATGTAATTCTGTTGGGACAACATATGAGATGCAGAAAGGGGACTACATATGCATGCTACATGAACTCTGTTGGGACATGGGAAGATAAGGTGCTTACTACTCTCGTTTATCCTCCTCGAACTCTTCACCGAGCCTGAATAAATCGGCATTCAATGCCTTCCTTTCCGGCTTGGCTGCTGATTGTCCGGCCGATACAGCACTACTTCTCGTGAGGGAGATACCTTCCTCATCAAGCTTGTCCTCTGTCTCCTTGATATATGCATATCTGAACAACACAGCAAATCAACTATCATGATGAATCATGGTTGGAATAAAAGGCTTCAAGAGTTAAAACTATTCTTAATAAACCGAATCAAATGCATATAAATCTCTAATTGCCAACCAAAAGCATCATGAAACCGAAGTTAAACTCTACCTAATAAAGCAAGTTCGAGTTTCCACTTTGCAGGGATTACCTCGTCGGATTGTTCGATGGAGCCCAAAGACTACATATTACCACCAAAAGTACAAACGCAAGCAGATTCCAGAAAGCCGGGATTATCCACGCTCTTTGCCACAGTTCACTTAAGGGGTCAGCTGCATTAAAGTACAACTGAACAACAAAGTTTGATCAGATGAATACAGCTATGCTCTATATGCAAAATATAATCTGATATTTATTTGAATGTTCAGAGCTATACAGCTATATGAATGATGGTTAAAACGATCTGGAAAAATGTAGAATTTTAGATCCATATGATCTAAGAGTGACTAGGTTTCTTCTAAACATGGACTTGAGAGTCGAGGTGGAGGATAAAAGACATAACAATGAAGCAAACTTGTATATGATGACAGACAAGTATATTAAACAACCTCATAACCAACCCAAGCAATGGAGAGCAGAACTGAAATTGCTAGTGTATTGGCAAACCTCCGGTAGAGTGCAAACTTGGCCATGCTTCTTCTAATCTGTACGGAAAGAAAACGAATAAACCCTTTTAAAATATGAATCAGTTAAGTCTAATAAATTCAGAAATGAAAATAAATCTTCCCTATGTCTGCTAAAGCACAGCTGAAAGCTATTATCACTATTGCCTAAAACAATAAAAACAAAATTTACGAACATCGACATGCAGAAAGGATTCACTTATTGCATGGTGCTACCTGAAGCTCCTCTAGAGTCCGAGACAATGCAGAAAAGATCCAGACTATGAAGCAAGCATCCAACAGAGAAACAGGTAGAACCAGAAATATCCTTGCTTTTCCAGTTAAGTCGTCGATATTCCCCATATTTTCAACCAGCCCTAGTGCTTCTGAAAAGGCCAAGTAGGTCACACCAAGGAGAACTTCGAAGATTACATGTCCAAGGGTCAGTCGCACAACACCAAAGCCCATCGAAACTTCTAAAAGGAGTAGACGGGAGACGGTCTTCTTAACAGCAGTGAAGGTAACTGCCCAAAGTGTAATTCCCATTGGTCTGCTTCCAGTTGCATTAAAATTTGCATATTCAAAGTACCATAGAGCCATTTCACACATTCCCAGACCAATCACTGCTGTAATATGGTACTGCAGTTTTATCATACCTTTCAAGTATTGCACAGACCACAGAAACCAGACAAGTCCGAGGCCGAGGTATGCTAGAGACATTACCCCGAAAAACGTCATCAGTGGTGCCATCTTTCCAGGAACATAACCTCCGGGATTTCTCCAGACAGTTCTTCCACTGATCGTCATGCCCGTGAGTTCCGGATCACAGAACATGAAATACAAATAGTACATTCCAGTATGATTGATCTCAATTGTTTGCAGCATCATAGTAGTCTCTTCATTTTTTCCATCAAAGAAGGTTTGTATTCGTTGTGGACTATACGGGTGATTTGGATCTTGGTGGATGATCACCTCCCCTACATTGCATGATCCTTCCTTATAAAGATCTGGAGTGCAACATATAGCGGCGGAATGCAAATTCGAACCTCCAATTTTCTCCCTGTCTTTTACCTCAACTATTATAGCCTCAACCAATCCAGTTTTTTGCTGCATGTCATTCTTCTTTTCAGCAGACTCTTTCGTTCTTCGAAAGGTGATCGACTCAAACCTGAAAACGATAATGGCATCAGAGATACAAAATAAGTGTCCTATGTATTAGTGCTGAAATCTTGTAGGTTACAAAATAAGGTAATAGTGCTGAAACACTCTAGAACAACAATGGAAGATTCCCTTGCCTAATGAACTGGAACCTAGCAGCAGAAAGTCCGTATATTTATATAAGACGAAAATTTCTGCGGATTGTTCGAAAATTCCTTTATTAATCTTAATCAAAACATCGATGCGCATAACATGACACACTGAACAGATTTGTACTAAATAGAAGATTTCCCAGCTGTATGATATCAGTGTCGATAAGCTCATGGGATGATTTTCACAATTTAACATTCTTACAGTCATTCTTTTAATAAAACATGACAGAACATACATAAGTAAAATTGTTTGCTCCATCCTAACACAATACTACAGAAAACAACAAGAACCAGATTCCACTGAAAAGTTCAGCAGTGTTCAGATCCAACATGGACAAAATCATAAGATAAGCAAATGCTGAAATGCTCATTACAGAAATATACAAGAAAATATAAGCTGCCACTCTGTTAGTTTACAACTATCCCACCATATAATTTATAGTAGTATATATCCATTAAAAAAAATCTAACATGGTTCACATTAAGCATTAAACTGCTAGTCGTAATTGAAACTAAATATAATCCTATCAGGCAACGTGTTAGAATCAAACAAGTGAAAAAGAGAGCTGAAAGCCTGAAACAAAGAAAGAAAAAATGGTCAAGAAAACAAAAGGAGAAAACCGAAACGATGACCTGATAAAAGAGTTGCCATTGAGATGTTTTTCCTCAGGAGAAGGCATTTTGTGAGGATGAAGATGATGCTTTAAAGCGTAAAGGCCTTCACTTCCACCACGGAAGAAGAAAGAATTAGAACGGCGGAAAAAGGTTTGGTTTTGATATTCATGGATGGAAGCACCCACTTGGGTTATGGAAAAGCAGCTCCAATATATTAATAATAGAAATGTGAGTTTCTGAAAATACCCATTTCCATTCAGATCATAAGACAAACAACTGAATTCTCTATTTTTTTCCACCATCTCTCTCTCTCCCTCTCCCTCTCCTCTGTTTCAGTTCTCTTGTCCTTTTTTGCTTTTGTTTTATCAGTGTTCTGTTTTAATTTTATTTTATGTTTTTATGTTGGCAAAAATTGTAATGAAATATATTTTATTTTCATGACGTATGACACAAAATATGTAAGATTTGAGTGATTAGCGACTTTGTTGGTTTAATAATGTAGGGAAATTTGTGTGAAAATATACACGTTGAAAAGTTATTTTAAATTTAGATATTTTGCTATTAGGGATGAGCATGGGATCCGAATTCGACGGGTTTCGACCCGGTCCGATCCTACTTGATTGAGTCGAATTTTTTTTTTAAATTCGGGTTTGGGTCGATTCAGGTCGGATTTTTTTAATGTGATATTCAGATCGTGTCGAATTCGGTTTAGGATGAAAAATACTCAATCAGACCCGACCCGAAAAAATATATAATTTTACCTTAAATATTTAAGAATAATTACAATAATACTCTCTATATATTATTTTTTTCAATTGAGTCACTGTTTTTATTGAATAAAAATAACTTTTTTATTATTTCGGGTCGGGTCGAGTTTGTAAATTATATATCAGGTCGGTTCGGGTTGGATGAAAACTTGTTATGATCGGGTCGGGTCGAGTCTCGGGTGGAAGACTCTTTGTTCTTGAATCGGATCAGATGGACCAAAAACCCGACCTAACCTGATGCATACCCATCCCTATTTGTTATAGTAAATGTAAATTCGTCGTGAGAGAATAATAGATTTTATAAAATATAATAATTGAAATTCGTAGGAAAGAATGGTGAGTTCCACACAATTTGATTTTCATTTTATATTATTAATTTTATTTTTTTAATATATTTTACAAAATTTTTCGTAAGACATATATCGTAATAAATAGTTCAAATCTTAAAATAATTTTTAGAATAATTCATTCACAATATTTTAAAATTTATTGAGAGATTAGCCCTATTTTTTGTTTGTAGCAAATGTTTATGTTTCATGTAGCGCGGGAGTTTAACAATATCCGATTTAGATGATTCGGTCAGTAGACCATCGATCTAATAAAAAATTGTTGGGTATATATAGGGAAATATTTGAATTTTCAAGTCGGGTACTTAGCACATTATTTTTTGGGTAGGTTTCGGGTCATAAAATAGTTCTTAATTTTGTACATGTCGATCCGGTACCCGATTTCATATATATATATATATATATAATTTTATATTAAGTTTTTATATTCACTCTAACATTTTAAATTACTAATTTCTTAAATTATTTCACCATAAAATTCTAAATTCTTAATTTCTTAAAAATTTCACCTTAACATTCTAAACTATTTTTTAAATTATTTATTTAATTTTAAAATATTTTAAATTTAATTGTATTATTTTATTTTATTTTTAATAAATTTATCTTTCAAAATTTATGTGTGGATTATGTAATATAAATTTTTAATTTTTATGTTTTTCCTATGTGAACTTTTTAAAACAATATAATTTAAAGAAAAAAATAAAAAAAATATAAATTGGGTACCTGACCCGAAACTAAGGGTACTCAAATTTTACGGTACTAAGATTTAACGAATCGAAACATAAGACAACATTTTAGTATTTGAAAACTCTGGATACCTGATATCTCATGTACCTAAAAAAATACGGGTACCGGAGTTTTGAGCACCCCCTATGGAGTGATATCTTTTTTGTTTTTTACTTTTGAATCATTTGACGTTAAAAATACATTTTTATAAAATAAAATAAATTAATTTTAATTATAGTTCTATATTATTATTTTTAATTAATTTAAGATAAATGCAATATAATATTTATTTAAAGAGAACTCAATATATAAAAAAATTAATGTAAATATCACTTAAATTTCTTCCAATTTTGAAAATGAATTGTTTGATTCCTCGTATCAAAACTTTGAAACATCTTCAATTTTTCAATATAAAATATATAAAAAGTTCTATAAATATATAATAGCCATATTTAAAAGAATTAAAATATAAAAATTAAGTTATATAATTACAAATTCCCAAATTGATTGAAATTTTTAGGTTTAAACCTTAAACAAATAAATTATTAAATCTAATTTTTCATATTAATTTTTTTTATAAATTCTAAATGTAATCCTAATTCTACCTAGAGGGGAGAGGAATGGAGACTCTAAAGAAAGGAGAGTGCTCTTAGTGGGTCTAGAATCCATATTAGAATACGAGAGATCATAGATGATCAACTTTGTCAATCGATCAAATATACTTATTATTTATCATTTTAAATTCTATTATTTCTATATATATATATATATATATATATATATATATATATATATATATATATAAACTATGTGCTTTAATATGGAATTTAGTTAAATTATCAATAAAATTTTATTTTAACCATTTTTTTAAAATTTCATTAAGAGAAATATATTAATTAAACTTGAAAAATTTTAAATAAAAATTTAATGATAAATAAAATTCATCAATTCGAATCACTTAATTTTTTGAGCTTAGTTCGAATTTACTCGATTGAATTTTCAACCTTAGTTATAACAATAAAACTCTAAACAATTTTTTTGAAGAAAAAAACCCTAAACAAAATTGATTTTAAAGGATAAATAAAAAATGAATATAAATAAATATGGCATTTTAGTACCCCAAATAGTATTGCCAAACTTTTTTCGTACAATTTATATATAAAATTAAATGCCATTTAAAATCACTATTACTATATTAAATTTTCCATTCGTTTGCCAAACCTAATCTCTTACTCTAGGTTAGGAATAAGATTTTTTTTTAATATAACCAATTTTCTACTTAGTATCTAAATTCAAATTCACATTCAATTTGGACTAGAATACAATTCTAATTGTAATCTACATTGAGAATGGAAGAATGAGGTAATATACTTCATCATATCAATGAGTTCAAACATATAGTTCGTCCATCACTGTTGTAATTCTTTAAATCATTGGTGAGACTGTTGTTTGCTGAAAAAATACAATCAAGCTAGATGAAGTAAATATTGTTATATGAGAAGATTAGAGGATGTATGGAGGGAATCACACAAGCAAAAATAAAGAACGTGTTGATTATGAATAGATATCAAGGGGGAATGAGTTTATTCTCATAATAAAAGTGGACAACGAGAACAGTGTAGGGAAAAAATTATGGTAGTGTGAATTACATTATTTTGAAGAATATGGACACATTCAATCACAATATACATATGTGTAAGAGGATTTGAATAGAATGAAGTGGATACAAGAAAATGCACAGGCATATGTTCTCTAAAATTTGGTTTTTTTTTCCTGTAAAATGTTTATTTTATTGATTGTATCTATCATGAGATTTCATTTCTATCAACCCATACACAAAAAATTTTATGTTATTAATATATATGTGCTATCCTAAAAATATTTTTGAATCTCCCACTAAAAATTGTGAAGGATGATGTTAATATGGTTGAAATTGACAATGATATTGATTTGTTTTATATAAAAAGTATTGATTTTGTTAACACTAATTCTAAATGAATTTTAGATTCTATCATTGACGTTCATGTGAAAAAGGATCAAACTGTGTTTACTTTTTTCGGAAAGGGTGTTTTGTATTGTATTAATTGACACAAATACAAAACTTGACAAAGCCATGTGCTTTGTTATTGTAACACCCTAAACTTGTACGACACACAGTTGACCGATTAGAACGTCACACAGGACCACCGGAGCGGCAACCCAAAAGAAAATCTCTTTTAAAACACTCAAAATATAATAATTAACAATCATTTAAAACTATTAAACCATACTAAATAGTCATAAGTTTACAATACTGGGAGCTCCCAAAATAAATATCAAAAGTACATCAAGTATTCAAAAACAGTTACTACTCAAGTACAAAAAGGTATATGAATTATACATGCCCTCTAAATAAATAGACTCAAGACTTACTGTATCTATTCGGCTCTCTGGAATGTCTGCACAATGATCCGCGCCTTGCGTGCTTCACCTAAAGTCTTGAGAACGAAAACGCAATTCCAAACGTTGAGCTCACTAGTTCAATGCAACACTAACAACAATGTCGTACTAATAATGTTCATAAATGCTCATGTTAACATAAGATAACTAAAGTGAGTATGCACACACATTCATGATATCTAGGGTAGACATCATGGTACGGCTGAGGGATTACTGCATCTCGGAGCTCGCGCACCCCTTTAGTTTATGGGGGATATGAATCCGAAATTACTGTATCGGATTTGATACCCAACTAACCCACCCTTGCGAGTTTTGAGGCCTTACGCCATGGCTAGTCTTAAGTGCCTTGTGCACTCCCTAAGGATATTGCTAAAGTAAATTAGGTGTTCTGGCCGTTTTCCTGAGTGTCAAACAATGCTAGTATTATGTCATCCTATTTGATATTGCTTCAAGTTGTACTTGAATAATAAATAATGGTTCTCACGTTAAGTTTTATTTGAGAATAACCGAGCATTATTGGGTTCCTCGGCTCTGATTCTAATTCACATAGGCTACTTGCCTAAAATTGTACGAGGGTATCGGTACTCACCTTTGAGTATAGACACCGCTAGCTTAAAAATCAGTATAATTTCAAGGGGAGTATCGATACTGTCATGCCAATATCAATACCTGGTATCGATACTCCAACGAGTGTTGGTACCAAAATCCGCTTTGATGTTTGGATGAATAGTTGAGTATCGATACTCCTATGGGGAGTAACAGTACCGGTAGCACCATAGGTATCAGTACCAAAATTGACTACTGGAATTTGCTAAGTTTGCATGGTATTGATACGATTATCGATACCTTATTAAGGGGTATCGATACTTCACTTCCTAAAACCCCTTTGTTCTTATGCCTGAAGAACATTATCGGTACTGTTCCTCTAATAGCGATACTCGGGCCCATAAATGCCTTACTTATTTACGAAATTTACCTTCCTAAGCTACCATAATAGCCCTATTGAGGTTCCTAAGTGTTATTAAAGTTTTATGTGAGTTATAGGAGTCATAAAGAAGGTTTGAAGCATGATAAAAACATCAAAATGTGGAATCTACCATGAATGTCCATACAAGCTTGAAAACTCAGCATAGAAGCTATGTGCATCTCTAATGACCACTAAGGGTATGTAAGGTTTGTAAATGTGTTACCTTGTTTCCTAGTTGTTGGATACTCCATGAATTTACCCAAGATGCAACTTTTCCTTTCCTCTAGTTTTTTAACACCCACCAACTTCCTTCTCTAATCAAACCAAGACAAATGAGTTACCAATCCATTTAAAGGCTTAGATTGAAGTTATAAACACTTCACAATATTTAAATATACTAAAAACGGGCTAAAACATTGGATTCCATAAACCTATACTAAAACTCAAGTTTATAAAACCATGATCGAGACTTACACTTAGGGGCTCGATTTGAAGCTAGGAAGATGGAGGTTACGATTCTTACCTTAGTAGTTTCAACGGGTGTTTGAGACTCTTAGAGCTTTTAACTTTCTAGGCTTGAAGGAGAAGGAAGAAGATGAAGAGTAAGGAAGATGAGATAAACAAAGGGATGAAAAAAAGGGTGAAGTGCAGATGTGAGATCATCTCCAATTAAGGGGATTCAACTTTTATTTTGTACAAGGGTCTAATTGTTCATTTGGTCATTCCATTTCTTTGCTAAGATTAAAAACAACCCTTTTTATTTGTTGTTGGGCATTTACCATGACCAAATCCACTCAATTTTGGACCAAGGTTTGCCATGAGCTAGTTTGTTCATTCAAAGACCCTAAAAGTTTATCCCAAGACTCTTAACCTAGGGTTTGGGGTGTTACAGTTATAAAAAAAATCCCTAATCCTAATTGGAGGAAAACGAGTGTGACATGTCAATGTTGAAACATAATGTGACACCAATGAGCTCATTTTAGGCAAAAGTTTCACGATTTACAGATAACTAGAAATACCAACACACATGATAACTGCATAAAATACCATAGGCCAGACCTCAAAGAGTCAAACTATAACCCATCAACAACAAAATTCCCAGGAACAAAATCACCACAAAGATTATGTAAAAACAGACAGTAGCCAAACTACAAATACATCATCCATAATTCAATTTATATTGAGGAATTTGTAGGAACAAAGAGTAACAAAGCTAAAAAACAATGTCCTTAGGCAACCTTTCGAAAGCTAAACTCAAAAGAGACAAAAAAACATAACTTCAACCCTGTTACCCTTGTGTTTCAAATATATGTATGATATTTGTATATTAGAAGCTTCCTTCAATCGTCCTTGAATCAACCAAACTTTTTCTTCTATTCCTCTAATCAATTTCAGGCCCACTATCTTCCCTTCACTAAGCTCGGTCTAACAAAGGGCATCCTGCATTTGCACCCATATAAAGCCTTATATGGAGCCATCCGAATGCTAGACTAGTAACTGTTATTGTATACAAACTCAACTAGTGGTAAATGATTCTCCCAACTACCCTTAAGGTCCAAGATGGTATACCTAAGCATGTCCTCAAGAATTTGGATAACACGCTCAGATTGGCCGTCTGTCTGAGGGTGAAATACAATGCTAAAGTGGAGTTTGGTGCCTAGAGCCTTGTGTAGAGCTTTCCATAATCAGGAAGTGAAATGGGGATCTCTATCTGAAATGATCGATGACGGTACCCTATGTAACCTCATGATCTCATGGATATAGAGCTGGGCTAGCCTCACAAGGGTATAATCCATTCGAACTGGTAAGAAGTGGACATACTTAATTAACCAGTCAACTATGACCCCCACTGCATCATGTCTCAGCCTAGTTATCGGTAACCTTGTCATAAAATCTTTTGTCACCCGATCCCATTTCCACTATGGTGTCTGAATCGGTTGAAGTAATCCTGAAGGAACTTGGTGTTCAACCTTGATCTGCTGACATATTAAGCACTAAGCCACGAATTCTGACATTTCTGTTTTTATGCCTGGCCACTGGTATAAGGATCGAAGTTCGTCGTACATCTTGTTGCTACTTAGATGAACGAAAAACATACTAGAATGTGCTTCATGGAGGATCTTGTTACGCAACTGAGTATCAGGGGGAACACATAACTGGTTCTTAAAGAAAAATATGTTTCCCTTTTGCAACTCAAACCCTGAGGCCTCGCCTCTGCAGACTTTCTCCATACAAGCATTAAAGCAACTATCAGAACCTTGTAACTCCATAACCTTTCTTACCAGCTCGAGTTCTACTCTCAACTCAGCTAATAAATTACCATCTCTAGACAACCTCAGACGTGCTAGAAATGCCCTCAATTTTGACATCGTCTTATTGCTCAACACATCGACAATTACGTTCAATTTCCCTGGATGGTAGTCGATCACACAATCATAATCCTTTAAAAATTCAACCCACATATGTTTTCTCAAATTCAATTCTTTCTACGTTAAGAGGTACTTGAGGCTTTTTTAGTCGGTGAAGATGTGACACTTCTCACCAAACAGGTAGTGTCTCCAAGTCATGGGTGGGATAATTACGCTCGTGAGGTTTGAGTTGAATGGAAGTATAAGCTACAACTCTCCCTTATTTCATAAGAACACACCTAAGACCATTCAATGATGTATCACTAAAAACGGTGAAGTCCTTACCCGACTCCGATTGGGTTAAAACTAGGCTTGGGTTAGAGTGGTTTTCAACTGCTCAAATATGTTATGTCGTTTCTCATCTCAAACAAAAGATACTCCTTTTTGAAGCAATTAAGTCATTGGGGTAGTGATCGTCAAGAAACCTTTTATAAACTGACGATAGTCCAAGTAAGGCCTTAGAAACTGCATACTTCGGTAACATTGTTCGTAGGTTTTCAATCCAGTACGACTTGAACATTTTGAGGATTAACTCAAATGACATCCGTTGCTACTACGTGTCCCAAAAATGAAACCTCAGATAACCAGAACTCATACTTCCTAAACTTGGCAAACAACTGTCGCTCCTTCAGGGTCTGCGAGACAATACAGAGGTATCAGTCATATTCATCATCCGATCTTGAGTACACCAATTTGTAATCTATAAAAAACACTACAAACTAATCCAAGTATAGATAGACTACTTGGTTCATTAAGACCATAAATAATGTCAGGGTGTTGGTAAGTCTAAAGGGCATCACCAATAACTCATAGTGACCATATCTTATCTTAAATGCAATTTTTTCTATATCTGTATCCCCAAACTTCAACTGGTAGTATCCCGATCTCAGGTCTATTTTGGAGAACACACACTCTCCCATAAGTTGGTCGAAGACATCATCAATTCTAGGGAGTGGGTAGCAATTCTTGATGGTTAACTTATTCAGTTGTCGGTAGTTGATACAAAACCTTATCGAACCATCATTTTTCTTAATAAAAAGGATCAGTGCTCCCTAAGGAGAAATGCTCGGCCGGATAAACTTTTATCCAATAACTATTGAATTTAAGCTTTTAGCTCTGTCGACGCCATTGGGTAAGGAGCAATGGACACCGGAGCGGAACCCAACAAAACTTTGATACCGAACTCTAATTCTCAGTAGGCTGGAAGTCTAGGTAATTCCTCTAGAAAACGTCCAAGAAGTCTCACACGGTTCTAACATCTCCCAAACTTGGGGTCCTGACTTGAGTGTCGATTATGTCAGCTAAGAAAGCTTCACAACCTTGCTATAACAATTATTGTACCTTGATTACTGATATAATCCTTGTATATCTCGGCTTGTCACTAGTCACTACCACCTTGATTCTTTCTACCTTCTTGAGTTTAAGTTGTCTAGCCTTATACCTCAGGCTAGCGTCATGCTATGAGAGCCAATCAATTCCTAAAATTAAATCGAACTCTCTGAAGGGTAATTCTATCAAATCGACTGAAAAACTTCACCCTGAATCTCAATTAGGCAACAACAATGTACCTTATCTACTAAGACATTTAACCCCAGAAGACTGGACACTTTGACCCCTATTTCTAGATCATCAGCTATAAGGTTTCTCTCCCGTGCTAAATCGTAACATATGTATGAGTGAGTGAATCTTGGGTCTACTAGTGCTCTGAATGGAATAGAAAACACAATGAATTTACCTGAAATCACATCTGTGAGGACACACTCCTCATGGGCTCTAACGAACTGACATGAGGCAACTTTGTGACCCAGCTGAACCCCTACTGTGTTGTCTTAAAATAAATGTGGCTCCCGCCTCTTGTAAATCTCTGACCCTTAAAAGCTGACTGAACTAATCTCTGGGTCCAATCTATAGTACCAGTCTGAGTCTCTGGGCAATCCTGAATGAAGTGATCCCTCGAGCCGCAACTAAAACATCCTCGTGTCCTAGCAAGACATGTCCTAATATGCTTCTTACCACACGTTGGGCAAGTCGGGTATGGTGTCCCCAGAGATCCACTAACACTCGCCATAAAAAGCTGACGATAGTGGCCTCATACCCCCTCGATCTACACTCTACGTCGCCCTCCTAAACTGACTAGTTGGGATCATCCACAACCCCTAAGAATCTCTGGCCCTCTTGGCCTATGACTAAGTAGGTCTCGCAGACTCAATCATTCTCTACCCTTGTCCTAAGGCGGTAACAAAAGCTTTGGCTCTCATTCTTAACACCCCCTCCAACGCCTTTACCTGGAGATTCAGGTCGGCAAAGACCCTAGGTGGGTCTGTGTCTAGGTGGGTCAGAAAGTCGGGATGCGATCCCTCTGCCTCAGGTGTAATAACTGGTCCCTCAGCTCATCTGTGTGAGCAACCCTAATACACTTCTCCCTATACTCAGACAAAAAGAGCTCCCACGTCGACCTCTCCGGCTCTATAGCCTTCTCGATGGTCTCCCTCCAATCTATAGCGTAATCTTTTAACATAGTAGTGACGCTCTTCAGGTTACCCTTAGGGGTAAGGTACAATTGGAAAAGAGTCCTCAGAGTGTCCCTCAACCACTGGTCCACAACTACGGGATCGTCATCTCCTTACCCAAAGAAATCTGTCGTATGATATCTATGGAGTCGCTCCACAGAGGACTCCTCGTGAGTTGCGGAGGGAGGGGATGGTGGTGCGAGTGATGTAGGTGGTACTACAGGTGTCCTAGGTAAAGCCTGTGCTATGCGCCTAAGTTTGTAGTTAGGTCTCTAAAGAAGGTCGCCTCGTCGACCCCTGCTTCCCCTGGCTTCCAAACTTAGTATCCGGGGATAACTCACCTCTAGAGTCACCCGTTAAAGAGGCTATGCTCTTTTCTATGACGTAGTGGCTAGGATCTGTGTGGTCACTCATGTCTGAATCCTGAAATTAAGGAAAAACGAGGAGTCATTATTATTGTTAGAGACATAGTTGTACTCTTGACTCGCTATGGGCATGTATACTTATAGGCTGTTACTAACTCAACCCTCGGGTCATAGAACCAACTAAATATGATGCTCTAATACCACTAAATATAACACCCTAAACTAGTACAAGACACAATCGATCGATTAGAATGTCATATGGGACCACCGGAGTGGCAACCAAAAGAAAATCTCTTTTAAAAATAATAATTAACAATCATTTAAAAATTATTAAACCATATGAAATAGTCATAATTTTACAATACTGAGGAGCTCCTAAACTAAATATCAAAAGTATATTGAGTATTCAAAAATAGTTATGACTCAAGTGCAAAAAGGTCCATGAATTTTACATGCCCTCTAAATAAATAGACTGAAGATGTACTGTAACTGCTCGACTCACTGGAACATCTGTAAAATGTCCGGTGCGTCGTGTGCTCACCTAAAGTCTTACGAATGGAAATGCAATTCCGAATGTTGAGTTCACTAGCTCAATGCCACACTAACAACAATGCCATACTAATAATGTTCACAAATGCTCATGTTAACATAAGATAACTGAAGTGAGTAAGCATGCACACTCACGCTATCTAGGGTATACATCGTGGTACGACTGAGGGATTATTACATCTTGGAGTTTGTGCACCCCTTTAGTTTTTAGGGAATATGATTCTGAAATTACTGCATCGTATTCGACACCCAACTAACTCACCCCTTACAAATGTTGAGGCCTTACACCATGACTAGTCTTAAGTTCCTTGTACACTCCCTAAGGATATCCAAACATTCTATACGTAGTAACTATCGACAAATGCTAAAGTAACTTAGGTGTCTTGACCGTTTTCCTGAGTATCACACAAGGCTAGTATTATGTCATCTTATTTGATATTACTTATAGTTGTACTTGAATAATAAATAATGATTATCACTTTAAGTCTTATTTGAGTATAACCAAGTATTCTTGGGTCCCTTAGCTATGATTTTAATTCACTTAGGCTTGTTGCCTAAAATTGTATGTGGGTATCGGTACTCACCCTTGAGTATCGATATCGATAGCTTAAAAATTGATATAATTTCTAGGGGAGTATCGATACTATCATACTAGTGTCGATACTAGGTACCGATACTTCACCGAGTATCGATACTAAAATCTGCTTCGATGTTTTGATGAATAGTTGAGTATCGACACTCCTGTAAGGAGTATCGATACTGATATCAGTACAACCCTAGGTATCAGTACCAAAATTGACTACTAGAATTTGGTAAGTTTATACGGTATCGATACCACCCTGCAAGTATCGATACGAGTATCAATACCTTATTAAGGGGTATCGATACTTCACTTCCTAAAATCCCTTTGTTTTTATACCAAAAGAACAATAAAGATATTGCTCCTCCAGTACATATACTGGGGTCCAGAAAAGCCTTACTTAGGCACAAAAACTTACCTTGCTAAACTACCCTAACAGCCCTATTGAGGTTCCCAAGTGTTATTAAAGTTTTATGTAAGTTATAGGAGTCATAAAGAAGGTTTCAAGCATGCTAAAAACATCAAAATGTGGAATCTACCATGAATGTCCATACAAGATTGAAAACTCAACATAGAAGCTATATGTATCTCTAATGACCACTAAGGATATGTAAGGGTTGTAAATGTGTTACCTTGGTTTCCTAGCTAGGAAGATGGAGGTTACAATTATTACCTTAGTAGTTTCAATGGGTGTTTGAGACTCTTAAAGCTTCCAACTTTGCTAGGCTTGAAGGTGAAGGAAGAAGATGAAGAGTAAGGAAGATGAGATAAACAAAGGGGTGAAAAAGAGGGTGAACTGCATATGTGAGATCATCTCCAATTAAAGGGATTCAACTTTTATTTTGAACAAAGGTCTAATTGCTCGTTTGGTCCTTCACTTCTTTACTAAGATTAAAAATAACCCTTTTTATTTCATGTTGGGCCTAGACCAAGCTCAAATTCACTCAATCTTGGACC